GTACCTAAAAAACATCTATATAAAATTCTACCTCTCTGTCTGAAAATAAAGTCACTAACTCTTAAGGAAAGTCATATGAAAACTCCTGAACTACAAGGATACTATTCACAAAAGTAGAAGAGACCCTCACATCTTTGACATATGCTAAAAACATTAGACCGCCTTTTCTCTAAATTCTATTAACTTATAGAGCAGAAACTAAATAAGAGAGAATGGCCCTAATTCCTTGAAATATAAAGCTCTTATCATTCTGATATAGAGCCTTTTTTTTTCAGACAATCGATCTATTCACCTAATTCCCTAAAATCAAAATACTGCTAAGATATGAAAGAATGATTAGAACCGAATCAAATAAAATACGTTAAGGAGATGAAAAAATATAAGTCATACTTATAACAATATCTGAAGACATACTAGCCTCTAACTACGTTAGACTGTAAACACATGGCTGTATTGGAGTCAAAGTAAAAGAACTCCCTATACCCTAGGAACCTTCAAAATACTAACCTCTTAACTTCTGATCAACACTCTTGCTACCAGAAGCCTCATAATATGATTAGGGTGGCACTATCCTTGGCCTACCCACTATCGATTATCAAGTACTTTCAATTCTCAAATTAGATATCTATTAAATCCAACCCGCAGACACTCAAAAATTATGTATCTTTATTGACCACAATCAAAACATCAACCAGTTGCTTGATAATACTGACCATTATGCCTCATGTCATAATAATGGCATAATGGTACCCCATTGATTGAACCTCCAAAGCTGGCAACACTGCCTCTATCTAATCTAGAAGAAACTACTATAGATTATCTCTTCCTTATGAACTTAGCATGTCCAAACCTACTCTTCTTTCCATAATGGCTATTGTCATCTGTCTCACTGCTAAACCTCTTCATGTTAGCAGTCCATCATTGTTGAATAGCTATCAAATCATCCTATATCATCTACCAAATGAGCAAAATTTGTAATTCCCTGCATTAATAATGGCTGCCTCAATACATCCTGAAGTCACTCAAGAAATCAGAAACACTTCTCCTTAAAAGTACTAATCAAATGTGGGGTATACTTGGAGAGAGCAGTAAACTCTATCTCATACTGCATCAATTTTAGAAAAGATCTCTATAACTATCTTCTAGTAGACAATGATACAAACCAAGTCTCGAATATCTCTATAAACTCCTCCCAACTGATCAGGGTATTTGCACGACTATAAAACTTCTCTCTTTGTTGGCCCAACTATTAGCATTCTGCCTCGCCATCCAACATAAATACAACTAAAGCAACTATCATCTTAGGAGGATAATGCATCCCATCCAAAGTATTCTCTATCTTTATAAGCCAATCCTCAGTTGTCCTGGGCTTAATAAGACCTAAAAGTCTGGAAGGTTATAATCTCATAAAATTTTGTAAATACCTATCAATGTCATCAGATTGAGTACTAAAAACCTATATATGGACCTCACCTATTAGCTATACTACCTCAAAACTAATCATAAGAGTGGTACCCTGAACCTGAGCTACCTAACTAAAGTTCTAATCGTTGTTCATAACTAGATCTGGATAAGATGGATCAGTCATATTGAACACATCTATATGCAACATTGTCATATAATAAATAAATAAAATGAGCACCCAAAATTATCCAAAATTATCTCACTCCTCTATAGATTAAATACTATAACTCTATTATGATTCCTTTCTCTAATCGATGCTCTAATACCAAAAAGCTTGTTATAACCTGACCCAATACCACACAAGTCATACCATGCCCAATCAAGATAAGAATCACAAACTAATCCCAAGATCAACTTGGATAAGTACAAAAAACTAAACTTCTAATTTATACACACCACATAGTCACTACTAAATAAAAAAATAAAGCGAAAGACAAAATTTCAAAAATGTTTTTTTTTATTAACATCCATAAATATATAAATAATTTGAGGTATATTTATGACAGTGTTACCACAAATAATACAATAAAAAAATAAAAGTCAAGCAAGCAAAATAGAAATAGCCAAGATATACCAACAACACATATTTGAGCATGCTAACAACTAAGTTCGTTCTATATCCTTTCCCAGACCTGAAAAATGAAAGCAAAAGTAGAAGTAAGTTAACATGACTCAGCAGGCTATCATAGTCTAAAACAAAAATCAATAGCTGAAATTTGAAAGATTGAAAATATTGTATTGTAAAAATAAACTGAAGTATTATACGAAGAACTAAAATTGAAATAGATACTAATACTTAATGCATTTAAATAACTATTAGAATTATATTGAAACTGACGAAAACATAAATAAATATCTTATAGCAAATTTCATATTTGGCCCCAGGCTCAAATTTCCTTTACACATTTAATGGTTAGCAAAATATCTTCTCTGCCAACAAAATCTCTTCTCAATGCCAACAGAATCCCTTTTCTCCGCCAATAAAATTCTTTTTTTTTTAGAGAATGTCAAGATAGTCATCCAACTCTAAAATCTTAATAGCTCTTTAGACTTAAATTTCTCATATATGTATTAGTTAACATGATCTCTTCTCGTCACCAATTTTTATTTTTAATAGTTAACAAAATCTCTTCACTCTGCCAATAGATTTTCATATTCCATTCAATATTTACATATTTCAATGGATTATATTAAATAAAGTTTAAAAGGACACGATTAAGAATTTGTCAAAATGCCTTAACAATAGACAACATAAAATCTTGCTTAGTAGGGTGTTTTTCTTAAAAAAACCAAATTATCATAAATTGGGTCTAACAACATTTTAAAGCTTTAACTGAACTAAAATATTATTTTTAGATGTCAAAATAAATTTCTGAATTGATAAAAACCACTATTTTTTAAATTTACTGAGTAGAAAATCTCAAATAAATATTGAAAACAACAAGAATAGACATACTGATAATATATAAAAGTTACACCGACAAAAGTTATCAGAATTCGCTAAAACTGCATTTTTGTAAAAACAAATTATAAATTTGATTGAAGAAAGCATAGAAACACTAAATTATTGAAAATTCAAATAAACAAAATGTAACCTACCTCTATCTAAGAAATATTTAGAATTGGGTCGATGGCTAAAAATAACTCAAAGCAGTTCAATCAAACTTTCTCTCTTTATAAAACCCCTCTCTATCTCACACTAGGCCAGCTACCATAATATTCAAATGGGTTTGAATAGTGGATTTGGTTATTTTCAATATTAAAAATCTCTAGCACTACGACACCACACGGTGGTCGCCACAATGCTCCCTACATAAATCACAGTACCACCGCCCACGCCACGCGCTAGAGCGTTGAATTAAATATACATTTTTCTCAGGCTTCAACGTAAGAGCGTAAAAAAAAATGTCAGGGTGCTCCAAGGAAAATTTAATTTCCAATATACATTTAAACCCCTAAAATCTACTACATAACACATACATACCTTTATATGCACGTTGAACACTCTCAAACATGAGCAAAAGAGTTCAATTGCATTAATCTATCAAGTTACCTTACTTCTAATCAGGTCAAACCAGTTTGAACATAACTCTAAATCTGGAGAACATTATATTTAGAGCAGGAGTTTGTACCACTATGTGTAATGAATTTGAAATAAATTTGAAGGATGAACTTAACTTCTTTCTTGTGCTTCTAGTGAAGCCAAAAAAAAAGGCATATTTGCATATCAAATTAAGTGCATCGATGATTTAATAATAAAATTTGACATAAAATGCTGTAAGTCAATAGACACCTCCATGATTAAACCATTAAGAGGCTAGGAAGTCACATTGTTATATCTCTTCATTCATTATAATTCCAACATTAATTTATTAAAAAATTAAAGCCTTCAAACCACATTCTGAAGTAAATAAGAGCAAGAACCTTCAAGCAAAATCATTTGGCAAGATGTCATGGAAGCATCAATCTTTGATCCTATACTTTCAAAATGCTAAGCACAATCATTTTTTGCTTTAACAGAGCACAAAATGCACTTGGGTGTACTAACTAAAGCGCTCATGACATGTTTATAATATATACATATGTTATGTGTATACAATATTCGTTTAATCAACTTAAACTACATCAAGTAATAATTGGTAACAAATACAATGATGCATTCAATGATAATAAATGTCATATATTCGAAAGTCTAAAAAAATAAAACCATAAAGTATGAAGTGATAAAAGAATAGTTAAAAATCAAGAATACTTAGAGAGATTGATACGATAAGCTAGAAAATGAGAGACGAATGCAGTGTGAAGCCACGTAGAGTGTATGAATATGATCTACTGAGAAGCACGCAAAGGACACACAGATAAGCACTTTTAAAAAATGTGACCAAAAAGTTGATAGCACCAGTAAGAAGTATCAATGAAAAGTATATAAGAAAGTTAGCGGGCGAGGCATGGTAAAGTGAAGCACCAAGAAGCAACTAACACATATAGGGGAGAACGGAGAACCATCGAGCAACACCTCAATGACAATTAAAATGAATGAGTAAACCCTTCTGTCCTAGATATTGTGGAAAAATTTTAAATCAAACAAAAAAAATTTTAAACTAGGATTTCAATTTGAGTTTGATCAAAGCATGTGGTGCAAAATCTTAACAAGACAAACAGGCATGATGCAAACGATTTACCATGAGCTTGCACATAACATGCAAGTGGTGCAAATAGCAAGTACATTAGTACTTCACTTGCTTCTAAAGTGCACTTTTAATAATATTATTTTCACAACAACCAAACTATTATAAGAATGTGCTTTTTCTTAACTTTGGTACTATGTTTTTCATACTTTAGATTTGTTGCATTGAAATACATAATATTTGTTATTTTGTATCATTTGTATTGGGTAGCACTCTAGAATTTACTTTACATTATTTGTGAATTTACTTTACACATTCTTTTGATTGTTAAGTGCAAAAGCTCATAACAATCAAAATATTCAAGTAATAGCCACATAGCTCAGAGAATTTTGGATATTTAATAGTTTCTTTGTAAAATGCCATCAGAATCATAAAAAATAGCTTAAAAACTTATTTTTAAGTACAAAACATCATGCAACTCCATTTTGAGCAAATCAAACATCATACAACTAATCTCTCCTCATCCAACCCTGGCACTGCCACATCCTCCCTCATCAGCTCACCGTAACCCTCCCCCACACAAGCGCCAGCCTGCGCAAAGAGCTCGACTACAGCTGGAAGCTTCCCATAATACCTCCTCATGTCATGGACAAGTAATTCACCGCCAGTATGAAGCCCACGAACATGCCACACATAAACCGGTGGCACCAAATCATCAATGGTTGCCTCCTGCCAAGCATGCTGTCCAGCTCGCATTTGATGCTTGTATGCCTGGCAAATTCTTGCACGGTGTCCCTTCGGCCCTACCTGGACCTCAGGACAATACCCGCAAGTTTGAACTGTGTATGTTCGCATGAGTTGTATGGCACCTAACCTCATTTTCTCCCATGCATTCATCCCTCGCAGTGCAATATCTGCAGTTGTTGTCAATGGAATATCAGGTAGAATGGGGAAACAATCCAAAAAAGAGTTATGGTACTTAGAAAGGTTCTTAGCTAAAGCATAAAGAACAAATATATTAGTCATTATGATATATCAAACATAACAGACTACATAAAGTCCTTCTATCATTAATTCTTCAATAATATCATCTTCATCTAGATGCAGTACTTTTTTATGCTATCCAAACCATTGTCTTGCAACTTTACAGAAAATAACCCAACACCACCTAGTTTACTCTTCCGATTGGTTTAATATTTTTTAGTATGCATTTTGCAAAACACTCCCGCCCATCCAACACACGCATCCCACAAGCAAAACCATTTGTATTAGTTAAATGTTCCTAAATGTTCCTAAGAACTAATTGATCATTACAAAATTAAAGCCATATATAAGTGCTACTTTACTTCCCCTTCCTCTATCTCTCCCTACATATTGGTATCTTTTAATCTTTTTCATAGCTTTTATTTTGCTCATACACTCTTTCATATATACAATAATGGTGTTCTCAAATGGGTTAGTAGTTCGACCATGGTCAAGGCTCCCTATGTTGCACAGAATCAAAAGGTGAAGCTGTTGGCCCTATAGCTGTTTGACAGCATCACTATGAGGCCAATTGCTAGTCATGGTGGTAAAGTATTAGCTTCCTTCCTCTCCTCTTTCCTATAGACGCCCTAATTTGGTTCTTGATTTAGAACATAACAACCATTTGGTCCACTTGTGAGAATTGCATCATTGTTGTGGAGGGAGTTTCCTTTGCTTGCATCTTGAGGCAATGGAACAGATAACGGCTCCCATGAATGCCATGCCATGATTGAGAAATCGACAAAATACGGGGAATCAAATGGGTTAGGCCAATAAAAAGAAATTCTTAGCAAACAATTTGCTTTGAGGCAAGAAGTTTTCTAGGCCAACCTTGAAGATCTTCGTTAGCCGAGAAAGATGGAGTACTGCAATGTATCCTATCCTTCTTCCTCAACCAAAATCCATGTGGCTCAATATCTTTACCACTAGAATAGTCTCGTGGAAACTTCCGCTCAAAATCTATCAGCTTTCCTGCAATATTATAAACAGGATAAACTCTTCGCTTTGTAGGATACTCAGATATATCCATACCTGCCTGCACACACAATTCTACAATGGCAGGAATTCTATCAACTTGAAGCCTTTCCTCATGAGAAACTGCTCTGCCCAATCTATCATAAAGATGGAAGGAGTCAATCACCGGTAGTACATGCTCAGTTCCTCCAGGAACCCAGCAATGCTCTTTTGTTGGAAGACTCCCGGCAACATCGCAAGTGCGTATTTGGTGTGGAAACTTTCCAACATAAACTTCTTCACACACTCTGCATTAAAGCTGTTTTACTCATCAAATTATGATGTCAAAGATATAATTTTCTAGCGATAAGTTAGTATTCTCATATTTTTTGTAAGATTAAAAAATAAAGCAATCAAAATTTAAACTATCTCCCGCAGGCTGCATAAATATGTAAGTTTATGAGGAATTAAGAGATATGCATGATTTCTGCTGGGTTGGTAGGAAATCAAGGTGTTACTTTTCTGGCAATCTGTTGAATGAAGAATTGGATGCACAAAAAATATTTTCCATCAGCATCATAAAAGTTTTTTTTTTTTTTTTTCACTTGCAATCTCATTTTTATTATAAGAAATTAGATTTCATCCTCATGAAATTGGTTAGATATGTATAATGAAAGCAAAATACAACACAAGGTTGCAGAAGCTGGGCATCTAAAGCTTAATTTTATGTACTTGAGATTTATATAATTGTATTTTGGCCATCTATGATATTGGGTCTTTAGGTCATGATTCACTTGAAGTTCAGGCTTCATATTAGTTGAGCTTAAACAGATCAAAACATAATTCAAGAAGCTTGAATCACAGTACACAGTTCATCAACGAAATAATATAGACATTAAAGAAATAACTAATGAAATTATAAAAAAAAAACTTCCATTTTATCAATCTAAGCATCATGATGCAGTTTAAAGCAGAAGCATACACTAGGAACAATTTTATGTGATGAACTTAAATCTTCGAACCTGCTAAAGGAAAACATTCAACTCACAACTAATTCAATTAAAACCAATCCAAACTTATTCAGTTTTCAGGCAAAACATGCAGCAATTTTACCTGCACACATGAACAAGTACACTCTTCAGGACCAAAGAGACACAATCATAGAGCTCTTTCCTTGCATCATAGACCTCATGGGCAACAGGGATCAATCTCTTCACCAGCAACCCATTTTCAGGCGGCTTGAGCATAATCTCCCGAACATCCTGCCTCATTTTCCTCTCCAATCTGGCATTACGTTTGAGGTGATTGATGCTAGTCACCAATGGCTTCCTCTCTGATCTTTGACGCCTTACTGGTAGCTCTACATGCTCTGTGAATCCTCCAGAACTAGTTGAAAGAAAGCACATAGAACCTTTCAGGTAGCTTAGCGCAATATTTACACCATGTTGCTCGTAGTGTTTGATAAACCTTTGATTAAGCCTCGGTAGCATTGCACCTATCTGAACCATCAATCATTCATTCAGATTGAAGGTAAGCACTAGATTTTATCGAATCAAACTTGGCTAGTTCTATCTGAAAAAGAGCAGCCAATCAAGTACTATGTCTTTCCGCAAGACGCCGGGGGCAGCGATCAACCGGCGTAGAACAGGGTTGGAGCTAATGATGCAGAGGCGTCGCACCGGAGATGGAGAGTGAAGATGAGGTACAGAAGAGGAGAGGTGACGCGGACCGCTAAAGACGGCGGAGCCGGCAGCGGAGGACGAAGGCGAGGGTGGCCGAGGAGAGGGACAGAGATTCGGGTGCGAGGGTACGCAGGGCTTGCGACTTGCGGGGCAAGCGGTCGACTCAGGTTAGGGACAGGTAACTGTGCTGACACGGAAATAGGTAGACGTCTAGACGTCTAAACAAAACGACACGAAATCACACGATAATTTGAGCCTATAGTACTTGTAGCCAATAGCCAAAGGCATGCAATTACATATATATAATATGCACATAATTATTAATTACAAAATAGTTACCATCCTTTCTATATTTTTAAAATTAACACTCAAATATTAAAATTCATTTTAATTTTTTTTTTCAAATTTCTTATAATTTGATCATATGCAAATATATAAATTTAATAATTCAAAAGAATAGTAAGTGATAATTTAATAAAAAATTAAAATTTGGTTCATATGCGTATAATTTTCACTGATTTATATTAGAAAATTTATATATGCATCACAAAATTCTTATAAATTTACATATCTAATATTTTTTTTAAAATATTATAAATTTAAGTTTGGTTCTTATACATACAATCTAAGTTGATAATTCTCCTCTGCATTACGTTTAGGGCCTATTTGAAACAGCTTTATGATCACAGCCACATTTAAGTTTGGATGTTAACTTTTCATTATTTAAAAAAAAAAATTGGTGAAAATATATATTTTTAGTATCACATCTAATAATATGTGATAACCTTTGGAAAATCATTGTCCATGTTTAAAATATATTTATATTTATATTAATAACACTCTAAGCATTTTTCAAAAAGATTTATTTTTTCTTGAAAATAATTTTATAACCATCTTTATAAAACCTATAACTGTTTTGAAAAGACATTGAGTTAATAGATATATTGAGCATGATAAACGAGTTATGAGCATCCTTTTATGAGAAGTGAGGATAAAACTCACAGCTTTACACAATTTAAGATAAGAAACTGAGGCTTTGGTATTTTACAGTCTTTAACAATTTAAAAAAAATGCTTTTATAGATAGTTTCCAATAAATTTATGATGTTGATTATGTCTAATATAGCTATAAAACCACTAACAAATCTACTTGAGGTGAGGCACTAGAAGAAAATTTTCATTTTAATTAAAACTCATGAGCAATACTAAAAATTTACTTTCAAAATTTTCATTTATGCTATGATTAAATGGAAATGAGACTGATATGGTAGAAAACCAAATTTTAACAAAGCTATACTTTTTTCATATGATGGAAGTGCAACTTATAATGGAGATTTGAGTGATATCAAAGGTTAACTGATGTAAAAGCAAATCCTAGCAAGAAGCATTATGATGGAAGAAGCACACTTCACCATCCCAGATCTTTCACCAATTTTGATCTAACTAAAAGTTCACTAAAATTTCACCAACATTGATTATCTTTTCAGTATTATAAGATATCCAACTCTATTTTCCATTCAAGTTTGGGCTTATCTAAATAAGTTTCCAGCTCAAACTACCGAAGCATGCTAACTTCAACTCAAAAGATTCAAAATCCTATATAGATATAAAAATAAACTTGGTAAGAACATAAACAAGAAGAAAGAAGATAAACTAATTGAATTTAAAATAGAATATCACCTGACAAAATTGAGAATTTTAAGTGTTGAAGTAAGGCTCTATCAATAATTACTCTAAGAACAAATGGTGGCTTTACCCTTAGAGATAGGATATGAGTCATTAGCCGAGTTTTTCATATTTTTTCCTTTATTTGCTCCAAAACAAACAATTTTGACTTTCATTTCCATATTTCTTCCTTTTATTTGCTCCAAATCAAACAGCCAAAAATCCGAACTTGTTAAATATTTAAAAATCCACAAGCCACAGATATCAGGAAAAAAAAAGGCAAAAAGAGGACGAACCTGAGAAAAAAATAAATGTTTATGAGATGCAGAGCCGTGGCTTCTTGCTGAGGCAAGGGACGCCGGCTTTTGTTAAACAGCAATCAGATGATGAAGAAGAGCATTCAATTACAAAGCATTACAAATACCTTGAAAATTGAAGAGAATAAAATAATAAGAACATGATTTTAATGTTCTGCTCTTGAAGGCATAACATCAGATAACGGAGTGAAAAGAAGGAAATAAAAAGGAAAGAAAGAAAACGTACCTGACAACAAAGGAACCCCATGAGAAGGAAGTCAAATGCTATCAACCAAGAGAGATGTTGGCGTCGGGGATTTGATCCATGCTGCAATTTTCTGAGTGAAATGGAAATGCATCCCTATTATTCCTCCATCCTCTCGACAAAGATTGTGAAGATACGGATACTTAAACGCAAGAAAATACATCTTAATTGTGGGTGTAGACACTAGACAGCAAAACAATTGCAGAGTCAAATTATTCCTCATCGCCATGGCCAAAAGACAGGAACAACAAAAGTGAACACAAAGGTTGAGAACAAAAAGATAAGCATACCATTGCAATAGCAAAAATGATCTTACAATTGTTGAATAAAGATCCGAAACCTGATATCTTAAGGAATAAGTTAAGAAATGATAAGGGATTAGAAGCTCATCAGTGAATGCAAGCACACAAATTGTTTTCTGAATGCTGCAATACTCCTAGAAGGGCACATTGTTGACAAATAAGTTAATAAAACAGTGGATGGGTGAAATTTTTACTTGCCTGTCCGTTTATGAGGTGGTAGATTGGTCAACTATTAACACCGGTCTTCCAACATGTCTAGTCCTCTAATATCATTTAACACAGATCCTCCATAAAGCTTGATTTAGGTGGGAAAATTCACAGAGTAGCCATGTATGCTAACTCTTCTTGTAGGAATGTCAATTCTTGATGTTTCTTCTTGGCAATTTTAATGCAACTTCAGAAGATAAAACTAAATTTGAAGGAACCAATTCACAGCAACGAGAGCAATAAAAGTGGATACATAATAAACTTCCTAATAAATTACCATTATTAAGGGATATATAATATGCTATTAATTTAGTTCATGGATCATTAGTGTCTAATTTGTCTCATTATAAGAGGAATTTAATAGAATATGCTGAACTTAAAAGACAAAATGATGAATTAATTAAGAAAAGGCTTATTTGGGAAAGCACAACTCACTCACTGTATATGTTTTGTTATGTGTGGATAGTAGAGTCACAAATGAAATGATCAATAAATATAATATTTTATATCTCATTTAGATGATAGGTTAAATATGATGAATGATGATGTGTTATTTTTAAGATTAATTTGAGAAGTGGTTATTATCAGGTTAAATCAAGGAAGGTAACGAATAAAAAATTACTATTAAGACCAAATATAAATTATATGGATGATCGTGATGCCATTTAAATTAACAAATACAAATAAGACTTTTAAGAAGCTAATGAACCATGTATAACGACCTTTATTGAAAATTTTCTTGTTTTTTTACTCTGAAGGTATTTTAATTTAGAACAAGACACACTAGATAATTATTTGGTGTATCTTAGGTAAGTATTTGAAGCTTTATAGGCTAAAACATCAAGCCTTTATCCCACTGTTGGGTCAACTACATGAATAATTTTTCTCCATTGTGTCATGTTAAGAGTCAAATTTTCATTTAAATCTAATAAAAAAAAAATGTCATTTCTTATACTTTCTAACCAAGTCTTTTTAGGTCTACCATTACCTTTCTTAACATAGGCGAAATCTAATGCATCTACTCTCCTAATAGGATCATCGGAAGGCCGACATTTTATGTGACCAAACCATCTAATGCGACTCTCTCTAATAATCTTATCTGCCACTGGAGCTACTCCAATTTTTCACGTATATACTTGCTACGCATTCTATCTCTAAGAGTGAAGACGCTCATCCATATGAGCATCCTCATCTCTACAACACCTCACTTAATTTTATGCTTATCTTTTAATGGCCAACATTTTGCGCCATAAAGCATTACAAGACTCACCACCATCTTATAGAATTTTGCATTAGGTTTGAGTGGTACTTTCTGTCACACAATGGGCCTGATGCATTCCTCCACTTCAACCATCCAACTTGAATTATACTAATAACATCACCATCTATTTCAGCATCACTTTAAATAATAGACTAGATATATCTAAAATGTATACTCCTTTTAATGACTTGATTGCCCAAAGTCACAATCCCCCCACAAGATCTATTACTACTAAAATTATACTCCATATATTTGTTTTTAGATCTACTCAAATGAAAACTTTTAATCTCTAAGGTTGACCTCCATAACTCAAGTTTTCCTTGAACTTGCTCTTTAGTCTTATCAATAAGAAAAATAACATCAATAAAAAGCATACACCATAGTACATCATCTTGCAAATGTCTAGTAAGAACTTCCAATAACTAAAACAAAAAAATATGGGCTAAACGTTGATCCTTCATGTAATCCAACTGAAATAGGAAAATACTTGCTTAAACCATCTTGTGTTTGAACACAACTAACAACACTTGCATACATATCTTTAATAACTTGAATATAAGCATTATTAACTTTTTCTTTCTAAAACTCTCTGAAGCACTTCTCTTAGAACTTTATCATATATTTTTTTTCTAAATCAATAAATATAATATATAGATTCTCCTTATTCTCTCTATACTTCTCCATCAAACCTCTTAATAAATGCACAGCTTCCATAGTAGACCTACTCGGCATGAATCCAAATTAATTTTAAAAAATATTAATATTACTTCATAACCTTTGCTCATTAATTATCTCCCATAGTTTTAATATATGACACTTTAACTTAATTCCTCTATAATTCACACACTTTTGTGCATCACATTTATTATCAAAAATAGAAATCAACACACTCCTCCACTCATTTGACATCATTTAATCTTTAAAATAATATTGAAAAATTTCGTAAGCTAAGAAATTCATTTCTCTTAGGTATTTCCACACCTCTATTGGAATATTATCAGATCCAGCAGTTTTTCCACACTTTATTTTTTTTAAAGTCTCTCTAACTTTGATTTTATTAATACGATAATAAAAAATAATATCTCTATTCTCATTTAGGATGCTAGGGTTACTAAAATCAATCATATTATCACAATTTTCATTGAAAAGCTAATCAAAATATCTCATCCATCATTGTTGAATATCTTATTACAATAAAAGTACTTTTTGATCTTCTTCC